TTTGGTAATGGAGTACTTGATTGGTGTGGGTTGTCTTCCAATGAACTTGGGTTTCTAATTTCCTGTTCTTTCCTCTGCTGATCATTGTGGTGTTCTTTTTTGTACTTTAACCAGCTCTAGTATCATTTTTGAGTGCACAACCAAAACTGTACACAGTATTCCAATTATTCTCTCATATAATTTTACATAATGGCACTAATGCATTGTCAGTTCTATTTTCAATTCTTTTCTTATGAATTCCAAGTGAGGAATCTATTTTTAAAGCAGCCTGGGTTGATTTTTTATCTCACTTTTCAGTATGATTTTAGATTCACTGAATTGTAAAGTTAGGATTTCTAGAGCTAACAGAATGTTGATACCAGTACAGGGATTAAATAATATTTCAAAGGTTTTGCTCACAGACCTGAGAACCTGCTTATGTCAAACTACTTAGCAAAGATGAATCAAATAGGGTATGGGAATGAATAGAGACAGCAGCTGGTATAATATTAATTTAGCAGGTTGTTCTTTAAAGAAAAAAAGTCCCAGATCAGAAGCTACAGTACCTTTGGAGGTTTTTCTGCTGTCTTTTAATATACAGTGCAAATACTAAGATTCTACTCTTATTTTTTAATGGGATATGCACAGGCAACAGGCACTCAATGGAAATCATCATCATCATCATCATCATCATCATCATCTGCCTATCCCAGGTCCTTGGGAAGGACTCGATAAGTGGATAAAAATGCCAAATGTAGTCTAAATATCTGGCTGACTATGAGACCAACCATGGTAATATATGCCAGCAACTCTACATCATATGTTTCCTGCCATGCATTGTAAAGCACCTCATTGCATCATAGAGTTGGAAGGGGTCACTGATCCAACCATCTGCTCAGTGATGGCTGGGGAATTCTGGGAGTTGAAGTTCACATATCCTACAGTTGCCAAGGTTGAGAAACAGTGCACTAGAGCATCTCTGACAGATGATCATCCAGCTTCTATTTGAAGACTTCTAGTGAAGGAGAACTCACTATTTATTTGTTATTTATTTATTATTTCAATTTATATGGTCACCCATCTCAGATTCATGAGTCTGGGTGGCTAAGGGCAGTTAAAAACACCATTAAACAACAATAGAAATAATATATACATAATTGACAGCCAAGGTAAAACAAAAACAACCAGCAACAAATCAATACAGCCATTGCACAGGCTCTGCCACATATCTGGATTCCCAAGGATACAACCATTCCTTTAAGGCCTTATGGGAAGCCAGCAGGGCCAGGGCCAACCTAATCTCTGGGGGAGTGATGTCTAAAAGGTGGGTGCTGTGACAGTAAAGGTTCTCTTTCTGGGCCCCACTAGATGGCACTTCCTATTAGAAAGGAGCCAGAGTGTGCCTTTCTTGGCAGACCTAATGGGATGGATAGGCATAATTGGGGAGAGATGCTCCCTTAAACAACCTGGCCCCATACCTTGAAGGGCTTTATAGGTATCTACCAGCACCTTGAATTGAACCTGTAAGCATACTGGCAACTGACACAGCTTGTAGAACAGAGATGTAACCTGTGCTGATCAAGGAGTGCGCATAACTGCCTAGGCTGCTGCATTCTGTGTCAGCTGCAGCTTCTGGAGGCTGTTCAAGGGCAGCCCCATGTAAAGTGTATTGCAATAATCCATTTGGGAGGTGACCAAGGCATGAGGGACCATGAACAGAGCCCTCCTGTCCAGGAACAGACACATCTGGAACTGTATGAGACTATCTGGATCACTGGCTAACAGCTCGTACAGATAGGGAGTTCCTTTTGATGCATAGCTTGAATCCCCTTCCTTGCCATTTTAACCCAATGATTCTGGTCCTGTCCCTGGGCCAATAATTCCACTCCCTCTTCTGTGTGACAATCCTTCAGATAATTGAAGACTATACTGCCTCTCAGCCAATTTTTCTGTAGGCCAAAGATATCCAGATCCTTTAACCATCCTCATGTTGCTTGGTTTCTAGACCTTTCACTACCTTGGTAGTCCTCCTCTGAACTTGCTCTAATTTGTCGCTGTTCTTTTTGAACTGTGGAGCCCAGAATGGACATAGTACTCCAAAGAAGATCTCACCAGGGTACAATCAGGCACAATTACTTCCCTTGAGCTAGACTTTATGCTTCTGTTAATGCTCCCTAAGAGCATTTTTAATAGCTGCATTATACTGCTGGCTCATGTTTAACTTATGGTCAACATGGTCACCCAGATCCCTTTCATATGTACTATTGCCAAGCTGGATTTTGATCATCCTATACTTGTGCCTTACATGTTTCTTTTCTAGAAGTTTTACATTTTTGCTTATTAATCATTTCACCAGGTTAAGCCTATGTAATCTTTCTGAATCTTCTTTTTGGGTGATCATTTGGCCAATTGTGGATCTACCTAACAGTAGCATGATCTAGCCCACATGTGACATTTTATTAAGGAGAATATCATAAGTCACTCAGTCACAGACTTTATTGAGGTCCAGGTAGAATATGTCTGCAGTATTTCCTTGACCTCCTAAATTAATAAGTTTAGTCCGGCACAACTTGTTTGTGACTAATCCATGCTCGTGCCTGTTAAATGTAGCACGTTTATCCATGCTCACGGACATGTTGCTTGATAATCTGTTTGAGGACCTTGCCTAGTATAGACCTCAAGTTCACAGGTCTGTCATTTCCTGACTCTTCCTCCTTTCCCAATTCTGAAGGCTTGGAAGAACATCCCAGGAGATGGCATTGGCCTAGGAAAGTACATGCTGCATCCATGAGGTCACCAGGGAGCTGAGCTAGGCTGATATTTTGCCTTTTATCTTTTAAAAAATAGAGTTATAAGAAGAGTCAGAGTCAAAAATAGAGTCAGAGAAAAAGAGTCACTTTATGTGAGATGGGCGGCTATATAAATATGATAAATAAAAATAAACAAACAAACAAACAAACAAACCAAGGCACCTGCCAAGCAAAGATAAGCAACTAAGTTCATGATACTCTGAAAAATTATCTTAAGAATAAAACAGACAGATCATACATTGAATTACCTTTCTCTATGATCAATGTATGCATATCATATATATGTCAGGGAAACCCACACTAAGTCAGAGAATTCTCTCCAAGTCATTGTTATTACCAACAATCTCTTAATTTTTTACTTAGCGCTGAGGGTTGTGTCAGCTGCCCCTTTTTCTCCCCTATTCACTCAACTACATCTTTACAACAAGAGCATCAAATTAAACCATCGTCGTATATTGTGATACTGAAAGTTGTTTTTTTTAAAAAAAAAAACTCTTTAAAAAGCCTCTTTCATTCTGTGCTCCACCAACTTCTTTCATGGCCAGGAACTGGGCTGTGAAACTGGCCTAGTACTGACTTCTCCTCCCAAGAAAAAATTAGCCTGGAAAACAAACTGAAAGGTTTGGCCTTAGAATCTATGAAGCAGAATTTGCTCCATTTTCTGAATACATCATAAACATCAAGCAAACACTGGCCATTGTGGCATTTTTTGTGAAATAAAATGCATCAGAGAAAAGGAGACACTCCAGCATTCAACACAAATTGCCCTCCCTCCCCCCTCCCCCCAAAAACTCAGTAGGAGCTCCAGTAACCAGTTAATGGCAATGATGGGTAACAGAAAAGTGCTTATCACCATAGCAAGTACACACAGCTTCACTAATAACATTAAATATCTTAGCTCTGTAAGTAGGTAATGTACAACACCACCTCATTCTCCTAATAAAAAACACTTCTTTGCCCTTAAATATTTAAGACTAGCTCCTGTTCCAACCAAATACACTAGTACAGTTTATCATTTATTTGAATTATAATTTAATTTGCTGACAAAATACCAATGTTTGAAAAAGGTTTCCTGGCAAATAAAATTATCCTGAAAGAATTGTGCTTAAAGGTTTGTTTTTGTTTTTTTTAATTTTTATATTGGTTTTAAGACTGCTACTTACTTTTACAGAATAAGCAAGGGAGATGGTAACTGCGAGTGGAAGTCCTTCTGGGACAGCAACTACAAGCACAGTCACACCAATAATGAAGAACTTGACAAAATACTGAACATATACGGGTGTGCATTCAGGCAGCCATGGCTTCTTGTTGACAACAAAGTTTTCAATAGTAAAGTATAATACTAAAATGATGACAGTGATTGCTGACATTACCAAACCTGGAACAGACAAATATATCTTTTATTGTAGAAGTAATTTTTTGTGTATGACATAAAAATCATCTTTTCACAAAGAAAATCAGCTCTTTCACACATTACATCAGAATAGAACATTCCCAGTCTAAGACATATGGAGGACATCAGATTGGAGGATTCCAAGTAATTCACTTGTCTTTCTTTGGGGCATTAGAAGCCACAAGTGTTTAATGCTTTAGTATAAAATGGTCCCACCGATGCTATAACGATTTTGTTTTATTCTTACAGGGGAAATGGAAACAGAAAGAGAAGGTTCTAGAGCAAGGATTATGGAGAGGGTTATAAAGGGTTATAAAACAGAAGAAAAAGGAAGGCAAGGAAGGTGAAGTCAGTTATGTACTGACTTCAGGTATCAGGAGTTTCTAGGGTTAAGGATGAAGTTTGAAATAGCCATCAGTTAGTAATTTCAGTTAAGAAAAGAATTATCAGATATATTGGCTTAGAAGCTAAGAGCTCTTGAAGCAGTTCAGAGCAGGAAGTTTTTTCCATTCCTCCTCTCTTTCTGAACTCTCCCAAAAATTTGTGGAGGGGTGGGGGGAGAAGCACCAGGAAGTGGAATGGACACAGGGAATTATTCAGAAGAAAAGAGGATGAGGAACTTCCCTTCTTTGACCTTTCTTCAATTACCTTAGGATTCAGGCCACAGCTTTCAAATCACAGTGAATGCTTTTTGGTGATCCAATTCTCACATTCTTAACAATGATGTATTAGTAAATGCTGAAATGCCATGAGATTTGTATGTGTATACTGTAGGTGACCCGCCTTCCTTCTCCCAACACTTTACATTAAATTGCCAATGGCCTGCAGCTCTACATGTGTCACTTTGCCTGTGCCCATTCTAACTATGCCTTAGTCTTCTGAATGTATCTCAAACAGGTTACATTCTAAGCACTACACTATGCATAAATAAACAGTCTGATATGAAAAGAAGATAACTGGTTCTTATCTATTCACTATCAGAATGTTAACCATCTTACAGCACCTTCCGTCTTTGTAATTTAATCATAAACACATTTTTCAACAAAGCATGTAATTAGCTTGTATATTTATATTCAAAATATTAGAAGTGACACACAAACTACTAAATTTAAACTGATTACTCTAGCCAGTTTTGAAAAGAGAACATTGCTTGATATACAGATCTAAGGGTCACTGAAACATTTGTCATAACATCAGCAAGAATTTAGGAATAAATGTTTATCACAGCTAGCATAGTCCAGAATCTTAAATATTCTCTTCCACTATATACAGTTGGGTACAGTGTCACCTTAAAAGTGCATAGTAACTAAAATTTAAGAACTCTGATACATACAGAGTTCAATACACAACTGAACAAATCAAACATAGGTACTGAGGTTTCCGTGCTGCCTTTGAGATTTTTATTATTTCTTTGAATTAAGTTTTATTTAACAGTGGGGATTGTGTAAAACATTTCATATTTGAACTGCTTTGAATTTGAAACAACCCATTTTGAACTCAAAAGGGATGTTACAAATCTGGGACATTTTGCAGATCCCTGCTATGGTCCAATTGTCTGTTTGACCCACACTTATGCGATAGTAAAAGATAAAATGTCATGGTCGGAATTATAATTTCATATTCCAGATGCATTGGGGAGGAGAAGAAAGGAAGTTATTTTGTCACTTTTTTCCTTTTTTCTTGTTGATAGTAAGACTAGGTTTGTTGTGATCCATGATTTATTTGACAATGATTAATAAACCAAAGTTGTTTGAACTTACACATCATAACTGCAAACTATTGTTTTATCTTTACACATCAATCTAAAACCAAACAAATATACTTTAGTTTAGTAGTAGATGTGAATTAGTAATGTGCTAGAGCAGTGTTCCTCAACCTTGGCAACTTGAAGATGTGTGGACTTCAACTCCCAGAATTCCCCAGCCAGCAAGATTGAGAAACACTGTGCTAGACAGTACTGATTTATTGCTCTCCCACATGTTCTAGGACCGTTTTCTCACCACATTAAGGACGACTACTCTATGGTTTTTTACAATATATATAGTATCACAGAAGCATGTATCTTACCTGCTTTGCCTATTTGGACAGCCAATTTAGTTAGCTTTCCTTGGAGAACCGATTTTTCTTTCTTGGGCATGTTGGATTTCCTCTTATCTTTCTCATCTCCCTCTCCACCTTCAGCACTCTTGAGTGGTTGCATCTCCATTGCAGCTGCCCCATCCTGCTGTTTGGCTTGAATACAAAGCAGTATTGGGGGGATTATACATTCCTTAGAAAAGCTAAGAACCAGGATTATAATTTTGATAGAATTATAAGTAACCATGACTCATTCTTCATACTATAAAGAACTTTAGATGTAAGATCTTTTGCTACCTTATCTTCAGACTGGACAAGTTAATCTACACAGTCAATTTATGCATTTAGCTATGGACTGAATAATCTTACATTATTAAGTAAAAATGTAAGTTTATTATATTTTTACTACATGTAATAATAAATGTGTTTTATTAGCAATTGCATAATCATAAACCTACCATTTCTCCAACAGTGTTACAATGTTTCAGTGTATGCTTTAAATTTATACAGTGTTTCTATATTAATTAAAAGAGTTTAATATCTCAAAATGCTTCAAATTTTTCTCCATGGCAGTCAGAAGGTAGGCTGAATCTATGGCATATATACAGATGTCAATGAAAACTTCCTTTGAAATCTTTAAGCAAATCAATACTGAAGGATTTACTTTATCATCAGAGAGCTGTATTAGGCTAGAGGTAAGCAATCTGATATCCACCTGATGTTTTGTTATTCTATACTTCCCACAGTCTCTAGCTATTGGTTATGCTCACTGGGGACTGATAAGAAGTAACTCAAAACAGTCCTGGATTAGATGGTACCTGAGTTATTTTCTAATTCTATAACTCCATATTTATTTATTTGTTTGTTTGTTTATTGTATATGACTGCCCAACTTGAACAATTGTGATTCTGGATGCATACAATCAACAAACAACAAGTCAATACTAACAAACAGTATAGTTAAAAGCAACAAAAATTAATGTGCATTTGGAAACTTTTCTGTTTTCTTTCATTTATATTTTCTTCTTCAGTTGAAAAGGATAATTTAGACATAATATATGAAATACATGTTTACATATCATAAATTTTGAACAGCCAAATAATAGTGGAAATATTACTGTATCACATTCTTGCTAAAAATTCATGAAACTGCAATGCATGCAATCAATTCTTTTAAGCCCAGACTGTATGAATATATGCATGTGTATGTGTGTGCATGTGGGGGTGTCTGTATGTATATATATAGACACTATCAATATCTAGACTAAAATTATCATAGTTGTAGGGGTAATCCTTTCACTAAGCAACATACATGGTTAATCACTATGATGAGATGAGAGAAACAGTTCTTACATTCTGATTCAACTTGCTAAGTAAAGAAGACTTTCACTGATAGTAGCAGAAGGTAAAAGGGTTTGGATCTAGCTGATTATTCCCATTGTTTTCATTGTATTAAGAATTGTTTCAGACATGCCAAGAGACTAACAAAGGATTTGGTTTTCCCTTCCAACATAAAGATTTAAACAATCACAAGCTAAGGACTTCTTTGATATTTCTGTAATAACAAAGTTACTTTATGTGAATTCTACCATTTTTTAAACTTCTTGCTTTAGATGAATTGCTTCTTTACACTTTCTCTTACTGTAACAATACAAAGCATTCACTGCTGAACACTTCCAGACATCCTCTACCAAAATGCCTGATCTGGCCATTTTCATGAGGTTGTACTTTTGCCACTTCGAATGTCATTATTATGTCCCCCCCCCCCC